TGGATACTGTGAATTGAAACCAACTACTAAAAATTTTTTTAATAATAAAAATAAAATTAAGAGTTAGAGCTAACAAGCCGACAAAAAGATAAAGTGTAATTGTTATATGTGGGGCGATAATGATTCGGTGGTAGAAGGATTCACCTGAGGCAGAACCAAGGAGAGAGAAATTTATTGAATTTTCTGTAAGGGAGCAGAGGGCAGGACAGCAGAGGGCAGGTTATCTGCCAGGAGATAGGTAGGGGAGGGCTAGAGTTAATGGGGGGAGTGAGGAGGTTTGGGAATATATGGAATTTCCCTTTTTTGATACCTGGGCCTCGTTGCAAGTTAGCAAATTGGTCAGCTAGGGCCTACAACTACTTCAAGGCAGGTTGCCCGCTGGGTCTGTTTACACTGTGCCTGCTGGTCACTGTGGGCCCTTGTGCCTTACTCACATTCCCATTGCTCAAGACTATTGCCTAAGAGTGGTCTCTACACTATAGACTGAACGTGTGTGTCCCCCCGCACCCGCACTGCTCAAATTCCTTTGTTGAAATCTAACCCTCAATGTGATTGTATTAGGATGTGAGGTCTTTGGGAGGTCATGAGGGCAGAGCTGTCATAAGTGGAATTTGTGCCTTATAACCCTAACCCTAACCCAGAGAGCTCCCTCCCAATTCCCACCATGTAAAGACACAGTGAGAAGACCTGAGTCTATAAACCTGTAAACAGGTCTTCCCTAGACACTGAATCTGTCACCACCTTTGTGTTGGACTTCCAAGTCTCCAAAACTAGGAGAAATAATTGTCTGCTGTTTATAAGCCTCCTAGTCTATGATATTCTGTTCTAACAGCCAATGGACTAAACAGGAATCATTAAAAAAAAAAATCTATCTAAAAAAAGGCAGGGAAATATGGAAAGGATAAAAAGCAAGTAAGACAAATAGAAACCAAATAGCAAGATGAGAGATTTAAACCCAAACATATTAATAACCATATTAAATGTGAATGGCCTTTGTATGGTTTTATATGATTACACAGAGGCAAGAGATTATATGGAAGAATAAGTACTAGGCTATTTACATTTGTTATTTGGGAATATGGGGGCAGGGGTGTCAGCTTTCTCTCTCTATGTGTATTGTTTGGTTTGTTACAGCACACACTTCTTATGCTCTTCAAATAAATTGAAAAACATGAAAATCTATAATCAGAGCAGTTAGATCCCCTTGTCTCCAGCTCTATCCAGCATATCTGGCTAGCTATTACTGCTTATCATTTTCAATCCCATCCCTAGAAGATTAAATTTTGTCCTCTGGTGAAATGGAGAAAACAAATAAAATTCAACACTATCTACAGTCTAACTCTATGAGGTGGGGGGGAGACTCATGGTTAATATCACAATCTGCTTCACTTGTTTGGCTGGCATTCTCTGTGACATCCTGCATGCTCTCTTATCTCCTATGGCAGAGACTGCTCATTATCTCCCAATATCTGTTCTCTGCTTCTAAAGTAATAAATCCTCAATTTTTAGCTGGGAACATTGCCCTCCTTGAATAAAGACTTCATTTCCCAGTCTTCTCTGTAGACAGGAGTGGTCATATGATTTACATCTGTACAATGGGATGTGCACAGAAGTGACCTGTGCCTCTTTTGGATTGTACCCTAAAAGAAAGGTCATTCTATGTACTTCCTTTTCCTTCTTACTGCTGGGTGAGGGACAGATGTGGTGTTGGCCATCTCAGAGGATAGGAGTAATCTAGAAGGAACTCAGTTTTCTAACTCCTTTGGAGCTGCCCAAAGGGGTTCATGAGAAAAAAAAAAGTCATCTATGATTTTGTTAAGGTGCTGTTCTTTTAGCAGCTCTATTTACAGCAGTTTTATCCACATCCTAGATAATGTAGCTCCAGGGACCCCTGAATGGCTCAGTGGTTGAGCATTTGCCTTTGGTTCAGTCGTGATCCTGGCCTGGGTCCTGGGACTGAGTCCTGCATTGGGTTCCCTGCCGGAGCCTGCTTCTCCCTCTGCCAATGTTTCTGCCTCTGTCTCTGTGTCTCTCATGAATAAATAAATAAAATCTTTAAAAAAATAATGTAGCTCCATCCATTTTTAGTTCTCCTTTGTAATTAGCATTGGGATACTCCTGAATGGAATGCTCCCATTTATTTTATTATTTTTATTTTTTATTTTATTTTTTTAAAGATTTTATTTATTCATGAGAGACATAGAGAAGCAGAGACACAGGCAGAGGGAGAACAAGACTCCATGCAGGGAGCCTAATGCAGAACTCGATCCTGGGACCCTGAGATCACGCCCTGAGCCAAAGGCAGACTCAACCACTGAGCCACCCAGGTGTCTCTATTTTATTATTTTTAAAAAGATTTTATTTATTTATTTATTTATTTATTTATTTATTTATTTATTTATTTAAGAGAGAGAGGAGAGGCAGAGAGAGAGAGAGAACCTTAAGCAGACCCTGTGCTCAGCACAGAACCCGAGGTGGAGCTCCCATCTCATGACCCCAAGACCACCACCCCAATCAAAATCAGGAGTCAGAAGCTTAGCCACCCAGGTGCCTCTGCTCCCATTTATTTGAAAGTAGTTTCCTTGTAATCTTGATAGTAGAAGATAACTCTAAGACTTATTTCCTCTCTCATCAGAGAAGAAAAGAAAAAATGGAATTCATAAACAAACCTAAAGCTTTGTCTTTGGAGAAAAAAAAAACAAGTGATAAATCTCCGGTTGTGCTAATCAATACAAAAGAGATACCAATTCTGGGAAAATGCTCTAAAAATTTCAAGTAATTTAAAGTAATAGGCTTAGTAAAAAAACTTAGTAAAAAACTTGAAAATACTGAATTAAAAAACAATTTGGAAAAAATACGCATTACCAAAATCAGTTTAACAGGAAGTAAAGAACAAAAGACATGAAACCCTCAAAGAATAATCCTATAAAAGTTTCTACACTCAGAAGGTTCGTAAATGGATCTTCCTGAATGTTTTTTTTAACAGGATAATTTCTACTCTTTGTAACTTTCTGTAGAACAAAAGCTATAAAGCTTTGCTGAATCTGCAAAGGACTCAAATCCCTGATGCCCAAGCCTGAACAGGAAGTAGAAACAAAAAAGAAGCAACCTCATGTTACAAAACAATAGGATTGGTTTTGTTTTGTTTTGTTTTTCAAAAAGCATAAACTGAATCTAACAATATATTCCAAAAGTTCTTATAAGCTGTATCCAATATGCAAAATTAATTCACTGATATGAAACTTACTATTTGAATATATTAATAGTTTAACTTTAGATAATTTTAATATATATATATATTTTAAAATCACACAATAAAGTTCTTTGCCCTAACCTCTCTCTCACACACAATACATGTATGTCGTAAACAATATTTTAGACCAATGTCATACTTGGTTGGTCCAACTCTATAGGCAATTCCAGCAGCCTTGTTTTTTTGTTTGGTTTTTTTAAAAGATTGTATTTATTCATGAAAGACACCCAGAGAGAGGCAGAGACATAGGCAAAGGGAGAAGCAGGCTCCCTGCAGGGAGCTTGATGGGGGATTTCATCCCAGGACTCTGGGATCATGCCCTGAGCTGAAGGCAGACACTCAACCACTGAGCTACCAAGGTGCCTCTCAATTCCAGCGACCTTATAAAATAAATACAATTTGTTGGCACTATTTTGTAACAACATAGAATATCCCAAAGCATTAAGCTTTCATAACTTAAGCAGTATAAATGCTACTAGTGTATGAAAAGCATAATTTTAAGCTTTAACATTCTTTTACCTTCACTTACTTTGTGGTTTTGAATAAAAATGTTCAACGGCCAAGGATGAGGGGAATCCCACACAAAAGAGTTGCTGGCCAGAATAAACAGAATCTATACGAAAATATTGACAATTAATTATATCTCTGAAAATAAACTAACCAGATGAGAACAGGCAAAGGCTATTTATTCAGAGCTTGCTCTGTTGGAGGAATCAGTGACTGTTACTGACTGGCGTTTTGGCAGAAACTCAAAGGCAGGCAGGGGAATGGGAAAGTTTCACAGTGGGGACAAAAGGCAGGCTTCCAAAAATGCCTTCCCTGGAGGCTGATGATAGGAGGGACAGGAGGAAGCCTTAGGCAGGCGACCTGGAGGTGGGGCATCCCATGTGATGGGTTAGGGGTGTTAATCGGTTTTGTCTGTGGTTGGTCCTGAGTTTGAGATGAGGACAAACCATAGGAAGGCTGTCAGCTATGGATAGGGAGGGTCCGGGTGGTTTGGGGCTGTTATAGAGGTGACTGTTCATCTTCCTGGATTGTTGCTGGAGCTCCGGGTCTGGCTTCACAGTCTGTTGACTGTGGATGAGGCAGGTTCTGGGCAGCTTGCAGGGGTGGTAGGCCAGAGTCCCAGCTCGACATGTGGCCTGGCCGTGGTCCACCTGTATGTTCAGTATCTCACTTGTATAACTTCATGATTACCGTGAGCGGGAGACATTAATATTTAGGCTGAGAGTTCCTTGAGACCTGAGAATTATTTCAAGGGTTCCCCCAGAGTGAAAATATTGAGAACTGCTGCCTCTGATTCCTCATCTGTGAAATGGGGATAATGATACCTATTTCGGGACTGTAATAAGGACTGAAGGATAGGAGGTTTTTGGTGTTTTGTTTTGTTTTGTATTTTACAAAATCAAGTGCCCTACATGGAACCCCTCAGGTAGCAGTAGACTTTCTGGGAGGAGGCGTGCAGACAAGCCCAGGTTGGCGTCTAAATGGGTGGCCGAGTGGACAGCGATAACCCATCCTTCAACAGGGTGCCGGGCTGTGCACAGCCCAGACCCAGACTGCCGCTGGCAACAACGTGGGACAGGGTGCATTCGCTCACAGCGCACAGGTCCACCGGGCACCCACTGCGCGGTGCCCACTCGCCCATACCTGCCACCCCGTGGCCGGAAACGCCTGCACCGCCAGCCGGAAGTATCTCACCGCGGAGGCTCCCGGGAATTGTAGTTCCGTCCAGTCCAGGGGCGTCTCGGCTGTGTCTGGAGGTCTCCGAGAGCGGTCTGCGCACTTCCGGACCCCGGGCTGGGGTTGCGGTGGTCGGTGCCTCGGACCCGGCCGGTTCTGAGGCCCCCGCTGCATCTAGGCCTGGCGATTCCCTCCGCCCGAGCGTAGAGAGGGCACGTGTGGCAGAGCCACGGCTGCAGAGCTGGCGGACGCTGGGAGGGGTGCTGTGCTCGGGGGTCCGGTGGGCGGCTCCGTCTGACGTCTGCTGGGGAGGGTCGGGGTTCCTGTCTGGTTTGGGGCGGGGGCCGTGGGCAGGCTCGTCTCACTGCTTTTCTGTCGTCCCGCAGCCCAGTCTTGTCGGAGCCCACAGTCCGCAACGGGCTTAGCGCGGTGGACCCAGTGACAGCCTTGGCCCGGGTGAGCTGAGGGCCACCTCTGCCCACGAATGGTCACCCCTCTTTCCTGACAGTGGATTTGTTTCTGTCCCTTGACCTGGAGCTTCTCTGCCCATCCAGGTCCCTGAGCTCTGCTGGCGCGCCCGGGCCTCCTGTGGCCGAGGAGGGAGAAGGGCCCCCCTTTCTTTCCCACCCTCCATCACACCTTCGGACCCCACATCGCAGCTAACGGTAGGCTCTGAGCTATGAGGGCAAGGAAGGGAGGATGTGGAATGATTGGTATTTCATGGATCTTCGGTGTCGGTCTTCATCCGACAAACATTTGTTGAGTGTCTGGGTCAGGCACTGGGGAAGCACCCTCCTTGGCTAGAGCCCTATGGAGGTGTCAGTCCCAGGACCACCAAGGTGTAGGTGCTCTGATAGTCATCCCTACTGGATGAACGGACACCCAGGCAGGAGGTCAGTTCCTTCTGGGGGAGCCATGACTGAAAATCACACTTAAAATAAGGTCTCCCTAGGTGAAAGGGGGCAAAAGGATAAGGGGTAAGGAAGAGCCTATGTAAAGGTAATAGGCATGAAACGTGTGGGTACTGCTGGGTTTTGCACCATGGAAGAGCCTGGGTGGGGTGTGTGGTGAGGCTGGAGGTGGTTTCAGGGAGCACATCAAGCTGGGCTAGCGGGTACGGACTGGATCCTATTAGCGCCATAAGTATTTCAGGCAAGGCAGTGGCATGGTGAAATTTGTCTTTTGCTGTTAATATTCCAGCAGTGAGTAGGGTTGCTGGGAACTCAGTTAAGTTCATGGGAAAAGTGAATAGGGGGATGTATCTCAGGTTTGTGAAGCTGTGCCAGTGCTGGCAAGGGTGAGTGAGAGAAGGTGGGGCTGTGTGAGTGCATCCCCTTGCTGACTGTGGAGGAAGGGATGGGGTAGACCCGGTTCAGTGTAGACTGTTCTTTCCCCACACTCAATGGAGAGATGGGCCACAATGAGGATGCCAAGTGATACAGAGATAGAGGTGGATTTGTCTTTCTTCCAGGCTTTTTTGTTGCAGATAGGACACACTTGAGCTGGGGTATGGTAGGGGAAGTGAAAGCTGTACTATAGTTTTAAGTCTTGATAAGGCATTTCAGTTGTTTCCATTATGACTTGAACTTGGGTCGTCTTGAGTTAGGTTTTCTTCTACTACAACCCGTGATCCTTCTTTGCTATGTTTAAGTAGTGACGTGGAAAAGATCTCAAAAGTAAAGCAAAGTGAAAAAAAAAAGAAGAAAAGTTTCTGTAATCATTGTTTATACTGAGCAAATGTTAAATTTGTTTGCTTCGGATTTTCTTAAGAACTAAAACCTTATGAATACCAGCTTTTTTTTTTTTTTTTTTTTTTTTTTTACCATTGGAGCTCTTAATATCACTCTTCGTTCCAGTTCCCTTCCTCTCTGGGTAACAACACCTGAGATTGCTTTATTCTTACATGCTATTTACTTACTAGATGTGGTCATAAACAATATATTGTGTGTTTTGTGTGTTCGTTACCTTTGCCTGTATTTATTTTGCTTTGTCCTTTTCTTATTTATTTTTAGTATTTTTTTCATATATTCCAGAGACAAATCCATTTATGGCTTATGCACATGGCAAAAATCTTGAATAGATTTTGACTGGGCCTGGTGTTTCCTTGATGGGTGTATTTTTGAGTACCAATCCATTTTATTGAATGTTTAATGTTTTTTCCCCCCAGTTCTCTGTTGCTTTGTCAATTTTTGGACTTCATATTTTTCTAGGAAATTGTCCAGTTTAATTTCAGATTTATAGCATTAAATTGCCTATAGTGATCTCATAACTGAAAAAAAATCTCTGCTATATCTGAAATTGTCTTTTGTCATGTCTAAAAATTACATCTTTGGCTTCTCTTGTTTTCTTGATCAATGGTGCCTGCACTTTGTCTATTTTACCAGTTTTAAATACAAACCAGTTACTTTATGAGTTCTAATCTTTTCAGAGAATTGATTGTAGTTTTTTCTTGGCAATTTTTTATTTGGGCACAACTTTCAGACTTAAACGTCACAGTGGTAGAACAGTATAGAGGATTTCTGAACACTTTTTATCTAAATTTCTGGAATATGAACATTTTACCACATTTGTCTAGGGGGCTTAAGCGATTTCAAGGCCAATTAAATAAAAAGAGAAAAAGATATGCCCTTATGACCAGGAGCCCATGCAAGCTTCATTTAAGCATGCATGTTTGGTAGAGATCCCTCACAGCATGAGACCATCCAGAGGCTGAGGCCCAGGTGCTGCTTCCCAGGAGGGAGGAGGACAAGCATACCTCTGAGTATCTCTGGGTCAGAGGTGCTAAGGGTCTCTATAGCCACATGGTGTATTTTATCTATGGCTACCAGATGCTGGGTACAGTTGCATGGGGTAGGCAAAGCAGTCAGGTTCTAAATGACTAAAAATCTGTGTATATTTGGGTGATCTTTAACACAACTGCATGTGTTAACATTTGAGTTTGGTGCTGCCAGTCTTTTTGAGCTCCTGGTCTCAGCCTGCTAAGAGCCACTCCACAGAGGCCATTGCCATCATTGGCTCATTCATATACAACTTGCTTTCTCCTTCTTTCCCTCTCTCCTCCATATATACATGTGTGTTAATACTTTGTGTACATTTCCCCAAAACAGGGCCATTCTGTCACACAGCCACAGGATAATGAGCAAAACTAGGAAATTAGTATTGATGCAATACGATTGTCCACGGATCTTACTTAGATTTCACCTGTTGTCTCAGGAAGACCCTTTCTAGCTCGGGAGATCTCAGATCATGCATTGCTTTTCTTCCTCCCACATCCCTTTGTCATCTTTTCTCTGGAACAGTTCCCAAATCTTTCATTGTCTTCAATAGAGTGATATTTTAGAGGAGTCCAGGCCAGTTATTTTGTGGAACGTTCCTCAATGTAGATTTGTCTAATGTCTCGCCATGATTAGATTCAGGTAATACATTTGTAGCAGGATTTTTTTTTCCTTAAACCTGTTCTGGTCTTTCTTTGATTTCTTCTTTTAAAATCTCTGCTCACACTGGTTTATGTCTTTTGGGTTTGCTTTTTTTCTGTGCTAGTTTCCTGCAATAAGTGTCATTAATTTTCCTTTTTTTCTAATGCAGATCTTAGGACTGTAATTTTTTAAGTGTGTGTAATTAGGCCCCAGTTTTGATATGTAATATTTTTGCAGTCGTTGTTGTGAATAAATCTGCATTCTTATTATTTTCCAGTTGTATTGCTTTTTGGTAGAGTGGCATCCATGCAATGTTGATTTTTAACATATATGTTGAGGTTTATTCTTAGCTTTTTGGAGTCAATTTTTTTTTAAGATTTTAGTTATTTATTCATAGAGACAGAGAGAGAGGCAGAGACACAGGCAGAGGGAGAAGCAGGCATCACACAGAGAGCCCGACGTGGGACTTGATCCAGGGTCTCCAGGATCACGCCCTGGGCCGCAGGCGGCACTAAACCACTGCGCCACCGGGGCTGCCCTTTTTTTTTTCTTTTAAAGTGGAGTCAATTTTTATAACCAACCCAGATGTGCTTAAAAAGAATGTATATTCTCTGATTATCGAGTACATTCTTCTGACTGATCCCGTAGGTCTAGCTTTTAAGTTGTCATTCAGATGTTGAATACTTTCTATTTATTTTTTGTATCTGGAATCTTTGTTTCTGAAAACATTCACTAGAACCTTTTCACTATGGTAAGGGATTTGTCAGGTTCCTGTTTGCACGTGTGCTTGTTTCACGTGTGTTTGAGCTACAAAGGCATCCTGTACATGTGTTGTTGTGCACAGACCTGAGATGGAGTTGGCTTCTGCCGCCTTGCATTTGTCCCTACGATGGATTGTTCTTTCTTGCTATTTGTATGTCTCATATCTTTTTTCTTTTTTAAATGAATGCCGGGCATTGTGTGTAGGAGTAGAGACCTCTGCTCCAGTGTCGCTGTGTGTGGGGCTGGGAGGCTGGAGGCTGTGTGTGGGGCTGGGAGGCTGGAGGTTGCATGCAACGTGAGTGGTCAAGAGTTGACAGGGCTGGCATTTACTGTTGCTCTGGTTACTGTCAGGCCCTGCTGGCCCCACATTTCTCCTGCAGCTCTGTGCTTGGCGGGGGTGGGGGGGGTGGGGTGGGGGGGGTGGGTGGCGCAGGCTGGTTACTGTTCCCCCACTGCGACCTTCTCCTAGTGCTGATGCGCTGATGCTCTTGCTTATTCTTCAGTGCTGCCTGGGCCCTGGGTCCCTGAGTGGGGGGGCAGGAGGTGCTTGTCAGAGATGCTGCCCCTCCCCCATGCGGTAGGAGGCCTGGAGACTCTGAACCTAGAACATATACCTCTCCCTTCCCATGGGAGAGGGTTTTTTTCTCCCTTTTCTCTGCCAGGAGCCATAGGTCTTACCTATGCTCTGGGAGCAACAGGTTTTGTTGCCTTTCCCTTGGTGGCAGTATAAGGCTTTGTTTCTCAGAAGAGAAGTTTCTGGAAGGATGGGGCTTTCCTGTGTTTCCCCCAATAGCAGCCATTCCACTCCAGACCTTCGCTACCCAGGGAGTCTCTGTGGACTGTGGCCCAGCCCTAAGCCTTCCTTTAGCACCAAGCCAGCGGCAGGGCTGTGTACCAGATTACCACAAATTCAGTGATTTAAAGCAGCACCCGTTGTCACCTGGCAGCTCAGTACAGCGGGGGCACATGGCTGGCTGGGGCTCTGCTCAGATCTCCCAGGGCCAGAATCAAAGTATGGGAAGACAGGCCTCTTCCCAGGGACTCTGGGTAGAGAGTCTGTCCCAGGCTCACAGAGGGCTGGGGGAAGGGGGGTTCCAGGTCCGGAGGTTTGAAGCCCAAGGCCCCTGATTTCTGGCTTGCTGTCCGCTGAGGTTTCTCTCAGCTCTTCCCACGGGGTGGCATGGGGTCCTTCTGTGTTTCCACTCTCTCTGCTCCCAGTCAGAGGTAAATGTCCTGCTGATGTTTTCACATGAGTCTCACCATACTGTCTTTTTATTTACAGGTGTTCTTAATATCTTGCAAAGGCGTAGTATCAGGCTGGGACAAGACGGCTCAGTCCTGTCTGCACATTCCAGCTCCTTCCTACCCCCAGACGGTCTGGAAGCAGGAGCTGAGCCTCCAGCCCACGGGTAAGTTCTCAGCAGGAGAGCAGAGCTTTGCCAGACCTCAAGCCCCAAACGCCCCCGCTGGTAGGATAATTCTTGTAAAGGTGACCCACTGGAGCAGCAGTCTACTTTGGAAGCAAGGCTCCCTCTCTGAGGTCCACCTTGTACCTTAGCACTGAAGCTGGAGATCCACGCCCCCAGAAAAGCGTCCCTAAAACAGCTGGGGACCTGCTTGCTGACTGTGAATTTGGGGGATGCCATCGTATCAGGGGATCATCTAGGATTTGGTTTAGGGGAAGGTTTACTAGGAGAGGGGATCCCCTGCTTTAGGGTGTGAGAAGCAGGAACGAGGGAAGGGATCCCCATGACTCCGGGAGGAGAGAGCAGCTCCCTGCCCCCTATCCCGCCCGGATCTCTCTACATGCGGTGCATTCACTGTCCCTCTGTCCCGCCTCCTCGCTCCCCTCTCCTGCCCCACACTCCAGCACTTGCGAGATTATAGACCCTCCTCATGTAGTCAAGGCATAGAAGTTGCTTTCTTAACCTAAGAGTATTTCATTTTTCCTTCACATGTTAAAGACGAAAGAAAATGCGCGTGAGAGAGGTGTTCAGAGCCACCCAGCTCAGTAGAGGCCGAGCCAGCACTAGCGCCCAGGGCTCCCGACACCAGGCGGGGGCTTCCTCCCGTGCGCCTCGGGTCATCGCTAAAACCCGCCCCTTCCCACCTCCACCCATTCAGACCCTCCCACGGATTTCCTCTCCTCCAGGGGAAGGACTCTGATAGGCGGTCCTGGAGAGAAAACCCAGTAAGATGATATATGTATATTTTTATGAACTATTTCAATATTGAACAGTGAGCACATGTTTATTGTCTAAAAAAAAAATCGAAAATGCCACTATGTCAAAACAAGCAGGTCCTACCATGCAAAGGTCACGTTGTTAACATTCTGTGTGTTTTGTACAGAATTTTTTCTTTATATGTTTTTACAAAAACCCATCCCACGTGCTGACATTGATGTACACTGGCAGGAAGCAGAGTTGAGTGTCCTCATGGACCCATGCTGGGGAATCTGCCTTCCTGTCCTCATTTCCCGGGGCCGCCCTGACAAAGTGCCACACCCTGGGGTGGCTGGAAGCACAGAGATTACATCTGTAATCTTTCTCCACTCCAGAGGCCAGAAGGCCAGAGGTGCAGGTGTCAGCGGGGGCCAGTTCCTTCTGAGACCAGGATGGGGCACCTGCTCCAGGCTCTCCCCAGCTTCTGGGAGTTTGCTGTCAGTCCTTGGTGCATCTGACTTCATCTTCCCTGACATTCGTCCTGTGTGAGGCCCTGGGCCCCAATATCCCCTTTTCACAAGGACGCTAGTCATACTGGGTTGGGTTGGGGCCCGCCCTCACAATCATTTACAGACTCTTTCTAAACAAGGCCACATTCGGAGATCCTGAGGGCTAGGATCCCTGACATTTCTTCTTGGGGGACAAAGTTCAAGCCAGAATATGTCCTTGACGGGGTGATTGGTCAGGTAACCCCGAGCGGTTCAGTTCCTAGAAGCTATGATAAAGAACCGTCTCTCTTTGCTGCCAGTGGTCTAGTGAACAGCTCATGTTTCCGTCCAGGTCCAGTTTCAAGCTTTCCTCTCTCCCTGGGGGGCTGCAGGTCTTTATCCCCAGATGGAGGGCCTGCAATCTCTTCTGTCTCTGCGACTCCTTAACCCTCTCATCGGCCAGCTTCTTTCTCCATGGTGGGGGTAGAGGGGCAGGAGGAGGAGAAATGAAGAAAAGGACCACCAACATTTCCTTGCTTGGTGCTTTTTGGTAGCTCCACATTCTACCACACAGGAGGCCACCTGATGACTTTTTGGGGGTGCAGAGCCTGTGACACAGGCAGGGGCTCTCTGACAGACCTTGGTGGCTGGCTCCTGGCTCCTTGGTACAGCTTCTCAGGGCTGGCTCTTGGTGCCCGGCAGGCAGCCTGCTCGCGGCATATCCTTGCTGTAGAGTTCATGCCCACCTACCTTCCTGCCCTCCACACAGGCCCGCCCCCCCCCCCAACCTCGCTGCACCGGAAACCCTCACACCCTGATTCCAACACATGCACTCTATGCAGGCCGCTCCCATTCCTACTCCCTCTCCTCTCCTGGCCACCAGGGTGGCCCTCTGCCAGCCTCTACCTTAGGAGTTCCTTGGCTTCAAGGCTGCCTCCTACTGCTGGGCTCTTGCATACACAGATCTGCCCCCCCGGAGCGCTTGTTCCCCACTCTGTCGAACCACCACATGCCCGAGAGTTTCTGCAGCCAGGCACACATCCTCTTTTTGCAGGCTCCCTCTGGTTCTCTTGCCACCACCCCTCTTGGCATGGGACAGAAGCAAAACCTTCAGTAGACACCTCTCCTTCCACCCTTCCTTCTCTAAAGGGAGGCATCTGTTAGGTTGGATCCAGCAGCTCCCCCGGAGAATTTGGGGTGCTTGGGAATTTAGCTAAAACTCCAGGCACCTGGGAAAAGCCCATCCACCTACCTGTTACCCATCTGTGAAATCATGTGCTTATGGATTACATACCTTCATTCTCCCCCTTATTGATATAGCCAGAAGCTATTTCCATGTTATATGATTATTTGTGTGATAGTTTAAATGGATTCATAGCATGGCATGCTTTAATTGTATCAACATTGATTAACTAATCTCTTATTTTTAAACACTTAGGTAGTCTCCAATTTAAAAAAAAAAACACACCCTCAATTCTTTATGGAGTTTCTGTAATTCTAGAGTTTTAGTGTCTCTGCAGACTTCCTGGACCCAACTCCCGTGTGTCTCTGTCCTGAGTAGGAACATACCTAAGACCAACCTCGTGTGTGTTCAGGAGAGAGATAGGTGTGGGGTCCAGTTGATGCTTCCAGCCACAGTATATTTGCTCCTAAACCTTCGTGTTCCTGTTCCCTGGCAAAATGAGGAAAGGAGGAGGGCTCAGGAGAAGCCATCAGATCTTGTCCCATATTTGGTAAGTGGCAGAGCCAGACCGGGACCACTTCCCGGGCAGAGGTCCGCACAGGGCAGCCAGGGCGGTTCTTACTAACAATGACCGTGGACACACCGCAGAGAAGCACTCGGAACCCAGCAGGTCCGGGATGGGCCGGAGGGCATCCACGCCTTGCCTGCCAGAGCTAAACTCCATTCAAATCGACTCTGCCTTAAGGAACACATTTTTATATTTTCCTGTGAGTTGTCCTCAATGTCTGCCAGGGGCCCAACCGGTGACAAGCTTTGGGTTAGAAGCTTAGCACATGATGGATATTTTTTAAAAATAACTTTTATATATGAAGTGCTTGTTTGTCAGAGAAAAAGTTAGGAAATTCACCTAAGGACAAAGAAAGCATTTGAAAGTGGTTATAACCCAACTACCCAGAGCGAACTGCTGCTAGCTTTTTGTCCTTCATTGTTTCAGAGATTGTTCTGCATGAGTGTGTGTGTTCACGTCTGTGTGTGGGGGATCAAATGGTTTTTAGCCATGTTTTTCAGTGATCAGTATGCTATCACTCAGTTTTCTAATATTTTATTTCCATTAGCTACATAACAGTTCATTTCCCTTGGAGAGGTAGTGTGTTTATTTAACTGGTCCTCCTCTGTTGGATATTCAGTTATTTTCTGTCTGTCTTTTTTCAGAGTTTTAACAAAATGTAATAAATATCTTGGTGGCTAGCTCTATGTCTAAAGTCATGACTGTTTCTTCAGAGTAAATTTCTATTAATTAAATTTCTGGGGAATGAGGGGAAGGGTTAGTAACTTGCATACTGGTGATGAAGACACAGATACATATGTGGATTAAGTAGAAAAGAAAAACCCATATTGAACCCTCACAAGGTTGGGTCCTCATCACATGCCAAGGCAAGAGCGTTGTGTGATGGTGGGTCCCTGGGGGAAGCCTGTCACTCCCTCGTGCCTGGAGGTGGGGGTGGCAGCAACAGATTCAGAGGCTGGGGGTGAGTTTGGCCTCTCACATTGTTTCCTCTCCCTACCCCGATCTCTGCTTCCTTAGGTATCTGCTTTTCCCAGCCCACAAGGGAAGGACCATGTGCCAGGTGAGTGTGGCATTTTTAAAGATTTATTTATTAGAGAGAGCATAAGCAGGAGGAAGGGCAGAAGGATAGAGAAGGGAAGCAGACTCCCCCCCTGAGTGGGGAGTCCAGCTTGGTGCTCGATCCCAGGACCCTGAGATCATGACCTGAGCCAAAATGAAGGGTCTGGCACTTAACCGACTGAGCACGCCCCCAGGCATCCCATGGCATTTATATTATCCTGCACTCTGCCTTACCAGGGGTTTTGGGGAGCTTATAAGAACACATCCAATAAAAACAATGCAAACAGGACCCAGGATCACTGAAGATGGGAAGTGGGTAGATGGAGGGATGCCCACGAAGCTGCTGGTGTAATGAGTTGCCCTGTAAACTTGTGTCTGACACTTTATATAAAGACAGATTCTGTCCAATATATGACTTGTGTTGTCTGCTTTGGACAAGCATGTCAACTTGTCAGAGGAAATAATGGTTCTTTGGTATTTAGGGGCTTAGTGATGGGCCCTGGCACATGAGTTAGCAGGCGGGGTCCTGAGTAAGGACAACACTGAGGCAGATGTGCTGGCAGGTCTCCTGTGACTCTTTTCCCCCATAAAAACGGTGGGTCTTAACGTCAGTGCACAAAGCTGTGGTTGCGGTTGCCCAAGGAATCAAAAATACTCAGTTCTCCCCTAACAGCCTTGCGATGTCAGATTGGCCTGTTGTGCACAGGAAGGAACAAGTAGCACGTCCTGCAAATTATTTTTCATCATAGTGTTCTGACACAGATGGAGAGCAAACAACTCAGTTTCAGTCTTTGGCAGGAGCATGGGGGGAAGATGATCGGAGCGCTCCTGGCCTCTTCTGGGGTCCAAGCCTCTTCACGACTTTGACCTCAGACATCTGCCCTTGCCCTCCTTTCTCATGGGGTCATTGTGATCTTCAATGATGTTTGCTCCCAGCCCGTCTGCATCCTCAAATTAGTCCTTAAGGGCCCCTCTCTTTGCCCTAGGCCCATGAGCGCATGAACGGCAAGTGTGTTGGTCAGCATCCGTCACATTACAGGAGGCCAGGAACCCAGCTAGAACTGCTTTAGGGCAAACCCCAAATCTAGGCAGTACCTGGACTGGGAGGAGCAGGTGTGCAGCTGGGACTCAGACAGTCACAGCTAGGAACTCAGGTGTCACCTGGAATCTTTCCGGTCCCTTCCCTCTGTTTCTGTGACTTCCTTCTCATACCAGTGTCATCGGTGTGGCTCACACCCCAAAGTTACCAGTTCTGCCAGAGAAATGGACCAAGTTCCCTCTTGTAGAGCCAGTTTGCACGGTCTTTGGGAGAGATTCAGATTGGCCCAGCTTTGTCCATGTCTAAGGCGGAGAGGCTGGGGCTGCGGTGGGGTGCCCCCAGGAGCAGCACTTGCTCAGGGTGCTAGAGGGAGATTGCTAGCCCTGGAGGAAGCCGAGGCCTTGCGGGCAAACATCGTAGTTGTCCACTCGAGGAAGAAAGACCTTCATGGGGTCTCAGGTTCTGGCTTGGGGAACCTGTTTTTTAATGAGAGTATATGTTCCTAAAGAGCGGAGACCATCTGGATGTTTGACACCAGAAACATCTGGGTATAGGACCAGTATGAGAGGGTTGGAAATGAAGCAGCAGCTCCACGGCCTTCTCAGAAGACAGAGCCGGCTGCATCTTGAGGCTGTCAGACCTGTGCTAGGGCTGGAGGTTTCATCTGTGCCTTTTGGGGAAGCTGTTGTTTTATAAGAAACTAGGTCTCACTGCAGCCTGCCCCTCAGGGCAATTGGCAAACAAATATTGATAATAAAAGTTATAAAGCTCTACCTGTTGAGCGCTTACACGCTGGTCTCTGTGTTTTCCATATGTTATTTCACAAATGAACTTGTGAGATAGGTGTTATTAACCCCTTCTCCCATTTTACAGATGGACAAATAGAGGTTGGAGATACTAAGTTATTTGCCGGGGATCTCACATCTTTTAGGCGATGAAGTTAGGATGTGTGGAATGTGGACAGACAGATAGGCAGATCTAGAGTGGAGACCTCGGTGATTGAACTGTACCGTAGCTTTATCTGCCCGACACATAACCGCAGCCAAGGAACCCAGCAGTACTTCTGTCCAGACCTGCACTGTCCAGTATGGTAGCCAGCGGCCACAGGTGGATACCAAGCACCCAAAGAGTGGCCAGTAGGGCTGGGGACCTGAATTTTTCATTTACACTTAAATTTTGTTTTATTTATTTTTTTCCTGGAGTTCAATTTGCCAACATTTAGCATAACACCCAGTGGTCATCCTGCCAAGTGCCCCCCTCAGTACCCATCACCCAGTCACCCCTTATTATTATTTTTTAAGGATTTATTTGTTTATCTGAGGGAAAGGGAAAGGGAGAAAGAAACCCAAGCAGACTCCATGCTGGGTGTGGAGTGCCGAACCGATGTGGGGCTTGATCCCACAACCCCAAGATCAGACATGAGCTGAAACCACGAGTTGGACACTTAACCAACGGTGCCACACAGGCACCCGTCCACTTAAATTTTGAAACAGAACCAGAGTAAACTACTTTCCCATCAAACACAATTTTATTGTTTTTATAGGACTACATTTCATGAAAGTGAAGTTGGAAATATGGTGTCTGAATTGAGATGTACTGTAATGTGAAAAACACCCACCAGATTTTGAATATATGGTATAAAAAAAGAATGAAAAGTATATCAGTAATTTAAAAATAATTGTATATTGAAATAATATTCTAGATATGTTAGACTAAGATCTTACTAAAAATTCATTTTCTTTATTACTTAAAGATGACTAGAAAATTCTATTTTTTAAACCACCTTATTGAGGTATGATTGACATCCAAAACTGTATGCACAACTTGATGAGTTGTCTTTTTTTTTTTAAGATTTTATTTTTTTATTCAAGAGAGAGAGGAAGAGCAAGAGAGCACCAGTGAGGGGAGAGGCAGAAGGAAAGGGAGAAGCAGGCTCTCTTCTGATGCAGGACTTGATCCCATGACCCTGGGATCATGACCTGAGCTGAAGGCAGACGCTTAATGGACTGAACCACCCAGGCTCCCCAGTTTGATGAGTTCAGAGATAAGTGTACAGCCATGAAACCATCATCACAGACTTAAATCCATCACCTGCAAAAGTTTCTTCCAGCACCCTTTTAAAATATATGTACTCTTTTTCTTTTTGTGGTAGGAGCATTTAACATAAGATATGCCCTCTCAGCAAATTTTTGAGCATGCGATGCAGGATGGTTAACTCTAGACACTATGCTGTACAGTAGATCTTCAGACCTTACTCATCTTCCATAATAAACATTGTATCCCTAATCAGCACCTCCCCACTTCCCTGCCCCTCACAACACCCAGTACCCACCATGCTATGCCCTGGTTCTAGGAATTTAGCCATTTTAGAGTCTTTATAAAAATGGAATCATACAGTATCTGCCCTCCTATGTCCAACTTATTACATTCAGCATAACGTCCTCCACATTCATCCGTGTTGTCCAAAATGAAGGGATTTCCCTCTTTCTTGTGGTTGATATTTCTCATGGCTAATAGCATGTGTACACATCGTCCGTCCATCCACTGATGGACACTTAGGCAGTTTCCATCTCTAAGCTACTGTGAATAAGGCTACAAGGAGCATGAGAATGCAGATCTATCTTTGAGACCCACTTCAGTAAGATTCAGTAAGATCACATCAACTTCGAGCAGAGATACATTTACTTCTTCCTTCCTGATTTGGATGCCTTTTATTTATTTTTCTTGACAGATTGCTCTGGCCAGACTTCCAGTATTGTGTTGAATAGGAGAGGCAAGAACGGGCATCCTTGCCTTCTTCAGGTCTTAGAGGGAAAGCTTTCTACCACTAAGTATGATGTTAACTGTGGGCTTTTCTTTTCTTTTTTTTTTTTTTAAGATTTTATTTATTTATTCATGAGAGACAAAAGGAGAGAGGCAGAGACATGTAGAGGGAGAGGCAGGCTCCATGTAGGGAGCCCAATGTGGGACTCGATCCTGGGACTCCAGGATCATACCCTGAGTGAAAGGCAGATGCTCAACCGCTGAGCCACCCAGGTGTCCCAACTGTGGGCTTTTCATAAATGGCCTTTATCATGTTAAGTTCTTTCTATTCTTAGTTTGCTGAGAGCTTTTAATTGTGAAAAGGTGTTGACGTTTGTGAAATGATGCTTTTTATGCAGCTGTTGAGCTGATTTTTTATTTTATCATTTATTCTATTAATGTAGTGTCTCATGGATTTTCGTGTGTCGAACCATGCTTGCATCCTAGGGATAAATCCTATTTGGTCATGGTGTCTTTTACCGTGCTGTTGAATTTGATGTGCTAATATTTTGTTAAGGATTTTTGTGTCTGTGTTTATCAGGGATATTGGCCTATAGTTTTCTTTTTGTGTGATGTCTTAGTTTTGGTATCAGAACGATGCTGGCCTCATAAAATAAATCTGTTTTTTTTTTTTTAGAAGAATTTAAGAAGGATTGATATTATTGTTTAAATTTTTGGTAGAATTCACCTATAAAGTTCCTGGGATTTTCTTTTTTAGGAATTTTTAGTTACTTGTTCATTCTCTTATCTGTTACTGGTATGCTCAGACTTTCTGTATCTTCTTCATTCAGTATTGGTAGCTTGTAGTTTTTTTTAGAATTGTATTCATTTCTTCTAGGTTGTCCAATTAGTTGGCACAGAATTGTCTATCTTAATGTTCCTTTTTATTTCTGTGGCATCAACTATAATGTCTCCTCTTTCATTTCTGATATTATTTATTCCAGTCTTCTCTTTTTCTTAGTCTAGCTAGGGGTTTGTCAGTTTTGTTTATCATTTCAAAAAAACAAGTTTTGGTTTTGTTTATTTTTTCTATTATTTTTCTGTTCTCCATTTCATTTATTTCTGCTCTAATCTTTTTTAATTTCTTCTGCCAATTTGGGGTGTAGTTTGTTCTTTTTTCCAGAGGTGCAAAGTTAGATTGTTTATTTGCGGTCTTTTTTCTTTTTTAAGATTTTATTTATCCATGAGAGACTCACAGAGAGAGGCAGAGACATAGGTGGAAGGAGAAGCAGATTCCTCGCAGGGAGCATGATGGCGGGACTTGATCCCTAGACCTCGAGATCACACCCTGAGCCAAAGGCAAACACTCAACCACTGAGACACTCAGGCATCCCTCTTTTTTCTTTTCTTCCTTTTTTTTTTTTTAAGATTTTATTCATTTATTCATGAGAGATACACAGAGAGGGAGAGAGAGAGAGAGAGAGAGAGAGAGAGAGAGAGAGAGAGGCAGAGACACAGGCAGAGAGAGAAGCAGGCTCCATGCAGAGAGCCTGATACGGGACTTGATCCTGGGGCTCCAGGACCACGCCCTAGGCCAAAGGCAGGAGCTAAACTGCTGAGCCACCCAGGGATCTTTTTTTAATGTAGCTATTCATTTCTATAAACTTCCCTTAGTATTGCTTTTGCTGCATCCCATAAGTTTGGTCTGTTTTCATCTGTCTTAAGATATTTTATAATTTCCTTTTTAATTTTTTCTGTGACTCACTAGTATTTAAGGATGTGTTAATTATCGATATTTAAAAATTTTCCCCTTTTATTTCTATTATTGATTTCTAGTTTCATTTCATTGTCATTGGAAAAGATACTTGGACTGATTTCAGTCTTAATTTTGTTAAGACTTGTTTTCTGACGGCCTGTGATTCATCCTGGAGAACATTCTGTGTGCTGCTCTTGACAAGAATGAGTATTCTGCTGCTATTGGGTAGAATGTTCCATAATTATCTTTTAGGGCTATTTAGTCTATAGTATTGTTCCTTTCTACTGTTTTCTTGTTGATTTTTTTGTCTGCATTATCTGTCCTTTATTGAGAGTGGGCTATTTAAGTCTCTTACTAATATTGTAATACTTTGTTTCTCCCTTGTGATTTGTCAGTGTTTGCTTTATATATTTAGGCCCTTTGATGTTGGGTGCATATGTATTTAAAATTGTTATACCTTCCTGTTGAGTGGACCCTTATATAAGGACTTTCTGTGTCTATTGTTTTTCTTTCTTTGTCTATTGTGACAGCTTTTGACCTAAAGGCTATTTTTGTCTGATAAAAGTATAGCTAGACCAGCTCTCTTTTGATTACCATTGCATGACTTGGAATATCTTTCTTCACCTTTTCACTTTTACCCAGTATGTGTCCTGAAGTCTAAAGTGAGTCTCTTGTAGAAAGCATATACTTCGGTCTTTTTTTTTTTTTTTTTTTTTACCCATTCAACTCACTCTATGTTTTAATTTAGGGAGTTGAGTTTATTTATATTAAAGTAATTACTGGTAGGTAAAGACTTACCATTGCCACTTTGTTCATTGTTTTCTGTTCTGTAGTTTCTTTGTTCTTCTCTCTTCCTCTCTTGTCTTTATTGTGGTTTGGATCTCTTATAGTGATAATGTTTTGATTCTTTCTTTTTTATATTTGTGTATCTATTATAGATTTTTTGTGGTTACCATGAGGCTTGCATTGAATATTTTATAGTTCTAGCAGTCTGTTTTAGCCTGATAACAACTTAACTTCAATTGCATATGGCAACTCTACACTTTACTTCTTACACATTCATACTTTGTTATTTATGTCAGATTTTACTTGCTTTTATAGTGTTTCGATGAATAAATCTATGGTTATTGTTATTCTTATACTTTTGCCATTTAAATTCCATACTTATGTTAATGATTTACATGCTGTTATAGCATTACTACAGTACAAATTAATTTGTTGTTTTGGTCCTTAATCCATCCAGAGAGAGAAGATGAAGGAGAAGGGGAAGGAGAGCCAAGCTCTGTTCTGTGTTTGTGGAATCCTTTCTCTGTTTTCCTCTTGTTGCTACCTTAATTTTGATCATATCTCATGTCATTGATTATAATTGTAGTTATTCACTCCCTCCCAGTCATTCCCTACCTTTTTTTAAAAAATTATTTTTTTTATCTCTTCTTGGCCTTTTTTTTTTAAGAGATCTTTATTTATTCACGAGAGACACAGAGAGAGTGAGAGTGAGAGAGAGAGAGAGAGAGAGAGAGAGAGAGACAGGCAGAGGGAGAAGCAGGCTCCATGCAGGGAGCCCGACGTGGGACTTGATCCCTGGTCTCCAGGATCACACCTCCTGCTGCAGGCGGCACTAAACCGCTGAGCCACTGGGGCTGCCCTTTACCCTTTTTTTTTTTAAGATTTTATTTATTTATTCATGAGAGACACACACACACAGGGGGAGAGAGAGAGAGAGAGAGAGAGAGGCAGAGATGCAGCAGAGGGAGGAGCAGGCTCTATGCAGGGAGCCCAACATGGGACTCGATCCCGGGTCCCCAGGATCACGCCCTGGACTGAAGGTGGCACTAAACCACTGAGCCACTGGGGCTGCCCTCCCTACCTTTTTCTACATCAGATCATCTTTTGTAGCTCCCCTCCTTAAATACCATACTTAAATCCCCATTGCCTTATAGGAGAAAAACTGTTTGTTTTGTGATCTGTGTGCGCACACGCACTCTCATACACACACACATTATATTCTACATTGTCATTCCCAAGTATTTGCAATTCCTACCAGAATTTTGACTGGTGACTCCTTACCTTTGCTCATGCCATGCCTCTTGATAGGAAATATCCTTCAGACATCAGGACACACTATTGACTTTTTATGATTCTGCTCAAAGGCACCCTCCAAAGAAGCTTAACTTGATATCAGGACATTGAATTTGACTACTGTCTTTGTGTCTGTTCTGTCCTTAATATACTTCCAGAAGCTTCTGGTGTAATCATACCATATGGAAGTCTTCTGTTTACCTTGCTCCACCAGCCTCCGAATGCCTTCAGAATAGGAGAAATGTCACTTTCAGCTTTCAACCCCAACCACCAGGCCGAATGCCATTACCATACCAAATCTTCAATAGATGCTTACACACTGAATGAAAGAGTGAATGAATAAATAGAGATCCAGAAGTGAGATCTTTTCTAATGATCTTTTTTTTTTTCTCTTCCACAAAATGTAATAGAGTTAGGGGCGTGCTAAGCTTCCACTTAACATGGGGAAACCTGACATCAAAGGTGCTAAGATCCATCACCTCTACACCTTTGGTACTCTGTGTTGAGCATTCCAGATTAATCAAGACTGTGTTGTTTCAGGGGTCGTTGTCGTTCAGAGATGTGGCTGTGGGCTTCACCCGAAAGGAATGGCAACAGCTCGACCCTACACAGAGGATGCTGTACCGGGACGTGATGCTGGAGAACTACAGCCACCTGGTCTCCGTGGGTGAGAAAAGCTTCCTGTGTCTCCCGATTCTGTCTGAGTTCCTTTCTCTTCTCAGTTATGCAAAACCCCTTATGTACTAAGCATATTTGGCCATGGGTTTCAGTGGTCAACAAGTCTGGCTCTCATCTCACCTGCATTATTTGTGAATTTACCTTCCAAGTGAAATGCCTGTTCTTCAGCCAAGATGTAAATGTTTATTGTGCCACCTGAACCTTCTACTTCCTTAGATGGCCCTAGTGGCTCAGCACAAATCCTCATAAGCAGGGATATTTCTCATTAACAGGATGTCAAGTCTCCAAACCAGCTGTGATCTCCAGGTTGGAGCAAGGGCAAGAACCATGGATGGAAGAGGAGGAAATCCTCAGATGGAGCTTTCAAGGTGAGAGAGCAGCAGCTTACAGGGTGGGCAGTGACATCTGGTTGGTCATAGAGCAGAACTTCGGATATGTTTTTGTTTCGGGCAACTATTCTTAAAAGCCTTGGGTGTTTGCCAGCAGCTGCAGACCATTGGCCCAAGACCTTGAGATGCCCTACATAACTCTTGCTACCTACACATATCACACATCCATACATGATTGTTGTTCTTTCCCTGGGTTTAAGAGAAAGACCTATCCTGTTTTTATTTACTCTTTTATTCAACCCCACCGTTCCCATCTGAGACCTGCCTTGCTCAGTTTTTCTCTAGAAGCTTCAGTTACACTTTCCCCAATGGTTATGAAACAGACTTCCTCATGTTTTCATGGACTTGTAGATGGCCCCTATTTTAAAATAACTTCTTTGTGCCACTCATTTTATTTTAGTGATCGTTTCTTATACTGTGAAATGCCTTAAAAACTAGTTTCTCCCTTTTATATGACTTTAAATTTGTCTTCTTTCAAAACTATGGAATATGGCCCCATTTTGCTTAATAGGTCATAAATGAAACTCCTTTATCCCCATCCCAGTATAATCCCATGAGGAGAAGAGCTTTTATCTTATTTGTCCTTATTCTGTGAGACACACATGGTAGACATTGACTAACAGCCCCTTCCTTCCACAAGGGTCTTTTATCAAGCATTTGTTCAGGGAAGATGTTACTAATCAGGGGTGCACACCAGAATCACCTGTGGAGCTTTAAAAATACCCTGCTGCCGGGTCCCCACTGGGAGCATCCTGGTGGGGAAGATTAGTAGGCATTGATTTTGTCCCTTAGGAATTCAGCAGTATGACTCAAGGAACTTCAGCATTTTTAAACCAAGGAGCTCCATGGTGGCTTTGGGTGTGGGTGTCAGAGGTGAAACAGCAGGTACAGTTTGTGGTTTAAAATGTAAATGAAGGGATCCCTGGGTGGCGCAGTGGTTTAGCGCCTGCCTTTGGCCCAGGGCGCGATCCTGGAGACCCGGGATCGAATCCCACATCGGGCCCCCGGTGCATGGAGCCTGCTTCTCCCTCTGCCTGTGTCTCTGCCTCTCTCTCTGTGTGTGACTATCATAAATAAATAAAAATTAAAAAAAAATAAAATGTAAATGAAAATCAAAGCAAATGAGTATCTCAGCACAGGATACATAATCCAACATTTAATAACCTCAGTAGGTGTCACGGTGACATGAACACCAACATGCCCACTGGCTTCTCTTGTACTCCCTTTTACTTGTGTCTTCACCTTCTTCCCAAATGACTGTGTCAAACTTATTAATAGCAAAGCTGCTTATATTTATTGTCTGTTTTATCCCTATTTCCAGTATCCCAGTTTTTCCTTTCAAAAGCCAAGGGATGGTGTGCTTAAGTGGCTCAGTCGGTTGGGCATCCAACTATTGATTCAGCTTGGGTTGTGATCTCAGGGTTGAGATCGAGTCCCATACTGAGCTCTGTGCTTGGCACAGAGTCTGCTTGGGATTCTCTCTCCCTCTGCCTCTGTCCCTCCCACTCATGCTCACTTGCTCTCACTTTCTCTCTAGAATAAATAAGTATATCTTCTAAAAAAAAAAAAAAAGCCAAGGGACTAGGATGTGTTTGTTGTACGTTCATGACGGTGATGATTGAATCTCGGCAGTTAGGTCTGAAACCACAAAGTTAATCTTACTCCTTTTTCTGAAATAATTTAGTTCTGTGACGTGGTCCTGGAAAGATTAACAAGTTTGTGGCATTATTTTTTTTCCCTAGAAGAAATTCTGCAAGCTGACCGCCAAGTAGGTAGACCCCAGGGACACCAAGACAAACTTCTGAGGCACATTGCAATCCTTGACAAGCAAGAACTAGCCAAGAAAGGGTATCACGGATGTAGCACAATTGAAAAAACAGTCTTTCAGGACACAAACCAGGCTCCCTCAAAGCAGCCGGCCCATACCTGTGACTCATGTGGAATGAGTTTGCCATGTAATGTAGCCGTTAGCCCTAATGCCTACCTCGCCAGAAGGAGATTTGAGTGTGATGGACAGGGGAACTTATTTCTGTACTCTAAGCTCGAAACACCCCCTTCTGGAGTACAGCCACGTGAGTGTGACAGGTGCCGGAATGCCCTCAGCCGTGACCAGGCCCTTCGTGCCCACCAGGGTGCTGGCAGTGCCGAGAAAGCCCACAGGTGTCCCCAGTGTGGGAAAGGCTTCTCCTGTGAACCGGAACTCATTGTGCACCGGAGGGTTCATGGGGGTGAGCAGCCCTCTGCACCTGGTGCACAGGGCCTCAGCTGCAAGAAGGAGGTTTGCCTCCCCAAACGCCGGGGAAATCATACCAAAGAGAAACCCGGGGGGGACAGCGGTGGTGGGAAGACACTGCCCCAGAAGATAAGCATATCGGTGCCAGTCGCAGTGCTTGCCGGAGGGAAGCCCTACAAGTGCTCCGAGTGTGAGAAGATCTTCTCCCATAAGTCCCGTCTCATTGAGCACCACCGGTCCCACACGGGGGAGAAGCCCTACGGCTGCAAAGAGTGCGGGAAGTCTTTCTCGCGAAAGTCGTGCCTCATCATCCACTACCGCATTCACACCGGCGAGAAGCCCTATGGCTGTGGCGAGTGTGGGAAAGCCTTCTTCCAGAAGTCTCACCTCATCCTGCATCAGAGGACTCACACAGGGGAGAAGCCCTACAAGTGCAGCGAGTGTGGGAAAGCCTTCTCGCAGAACTCCTGCCTTATCATCCACAAGAGAACTCATATGGGCAAGAAGCCGTACGAGTGCTCAGAGTGTGGGAAGACCTTCTCCCAGAAGGCGAACCTCATTCGCCACCACAGAATCCACACCAGGGAGAAACTGTATGGGTGAAGGGAGAGTGCGGGCTTTGTCCCGAGTCCCAGCCCACCTGGGAATATAAACCCCTGGATGTTCTGAGTGTGGAAAACCTTTCAGCAGGGAGTCCAGTGCCACTGTGTGCAGAGATTCATACCGAGGTGAAATTCTTCCAGTCTGTGGAGAATTAAGAAGAGACCATCTCTTACAACTAACAGAAGGGTAATGATGCTCTAGAGTGTTATATTTTTATAAGATATGCCTCATTATAAAATCTATCTGAATTACCTGTGGCTAATGAGCTTTGAAGTCCATGAATAAATTTAAATCATTAAGACAACAGATCTAATAAACATCAGAACAGTCCCAGGGCACATAGAGGGCTTACGTCCCTGAACATGCTGCATAGAAAGAATGTGATTTATTTTTAAACTGCATCGCTAATTAAACATAAGTGTGAGCCTGTGGGCACACACACCGGAATATACAGAATGACAGCTGTCGGACTCCCCTAAATCACACCTTTTTGTCTTCATAATGTACATTATACCTAGAAAAGTAGGAGTTTATTCTTAAACCAGGAGTCCAGACACCATACCAACATCTCATTTATTTTTTTTTGTTTGTTTGTTTGTTTGCTGGCAAGCATTACAGGGCCCCCTACCCCCGGATCTGGAAACCAGCAAGTTCATGACATCTCCTCATCACCTCTCCATCACCTAGTTCACAATTAGGTTTCATATTAAATGTGTAAGGTTAGAACTCCCTTTTCTGGCAATATATCAGACCACCCAAGGTGAAAGCCATTTTATCAGAAATGACCAATAATAGATAACATTCTTTTAAATGCATAGTTCAAATTGACCACCAATAAAAGTAAATTTATTAAAAATAAATAAATAAAATAAATAAATAAATAAATAAATAAATACATAGTTCAGCTGGCAAGAATGGCGTTACCAGGTACCAGAGAGCTGAACTGAACTGAGAGCCAAAGATTAAGTTTAGGGGCTGAAGCTGGAGCTGCCCTGTGGGTGTAACTTGGTTGACCCCAAAGCTTGGGTGTTCAAGACCAAAGGAGGACATGAAGCAAGGCCTTGGGGCATGCGAGGCAGACAGTGGGTACTGAAGTAACTTACAAATTCAGAGATTTCAGAAGTCGCTCCGTACAGGAAAAGGGTGGACTAGCAGCAAAATCTCACTTGGGTGGGAAGCTTGTCTTTCTCTCCATGGGCTCCGATGGGGGAAGATTTGCCCTGATGACTCATCAGCCCTGACCAGCACCCCATGTGAGTCAGAGTTTGGAATTCACCCTACTCCTGTCCCAGTTTTAAGACTGACCAGTGAATAGAGAAATTGGCCCTGTCTTTGGAACAAATGACAGAAGCAAACAAAATACCTTTTAGAGGGAGACACCCTCAACCCATGTCCACCAGGATTCTGATGGACAAACCCAACATGAGTTCATAATCCAAAACTACAAAATATGAGGAACCGGGCTGCCGCGGGAGTCAGCGAACACATGAACAAAATAACATCCAGGTTTTTAGGGTCATAAAAACACATGAACCTCTATAACAATAGCTCCCTTCACAAATGATTAAAAACAAAAAGTTGAAACCACGTGAAAGCAAGGCACAAAGACAGATAATGGGTTTCTTTGGAAAGGGGACCCCACAGAGTGTAGAAATGAGTACTGGCGTTGCGATGTGAACGTCACAATACTCAGCTGCAGAGAGAAGGAATAGAAAAGTAGAGCAAAGCAAAGTCATAGGATTCAGTCTACAGAGAGGCACTTAAAGTGAGAAGAGCAAGCAGGAGTTCCCAAAAGACAAAATAGAGGAAGAAAAGTATTCAGAGAAAACACGGCTCGAGTCTGACAAGACGTGCACTCGATTCAGGTGGCACAGTATGTGCCCAGGTGGATGAGCCGTAAATCTGTGTGGTAGACACACACCTGTCGAGAGCTGCTGAGCTACTTGATAGTATCACTGCTCCGCACCTGCGTGGTCTGGCTGAGCAGTCTGTGGGGACCTGACTCATGGTGGCCCCCAGATGGCAGCCCCAGAGCCGCAAACGAATGTCAGATCCCCATGTGGCTTTTCCCCCCATGCTCCTGAGTGCCGTCTCCCCTGCTTATCAGCACCTGTCCGCCTTATGTGCTCCTTAGCCAAGACCCCTGTGGAGCTTACCTAAACCCTGCTTTTCTGGTTTGAATTGACCAGTGTGGTCCTAGCCCGGGGACCCTGATAAAGACATGTGCTGCGGGTCCAGTCTCTCTCTGCTTTCTGCCTTGACGTCCTCGTGTGGCCCCTTGAGGCCTGTTGTGTACTCCCCCCCCCCCAGGACCCCGTGAATAATAAACTCTGTCTCAGTTTCTGTTGTGGCCTGTTGTTGAACCCGCTGACCACCAGCACCTGTGATCCTGTTAACACACACTTGTTTAACAAAGTCCTCACAACAGGCCGCAGGAATGGATGATAGTGTCATGCAGCTGACTGGGGTGAATGCCTTTTAGCAGCAACTGGCTGGCTCCCTGGCTCCCCCAGGTGGGTAGTTCCATCTGGGGGCCCCACAGGGCTACTGCCCATGCAGAGTGCTGCTCCTTCCCATCCCAAAGGGCGAGCTAGAAAAAAAGCAACCGAAGTCCTGGACTTCAGAGTATTACCATAGGGGCTGGTTGAAGATGCTGTGGGTTTATCTTCCACCTGTTAATGCCCCCAGAGGGTGAGTTCCCTCAGCAGGTGTGGGACTTGGAGTGTGCTTCCCCACCTGAGCACCTACCCGGCCAAGGCTCTTAGGTCCTGGCCAGGACAGGAGTGGCAACTCCGCCCAAGTGTGGGCTACGAAAGAGGGCCCTGTGTGCCCTTGAGGACAGAGACTCCCCTTCCCTGACAGCTGTGCTCACAGGTGGTACCGGGCCTCCTAGTCCTGCCTCATGCCATAGGGGCCTCTTGCTCAGGGAAGACACAGCTCTCCCTCCAAAGGTAAATGCAGCCGGGGCCTGCGGTTCCTCTGTTGCTCTTCACCTTACTGCTGTCACACCTTGTCCTTCGACCCTGTGGGATATTGTGGACCTCACCCTAGCACGTGGTGGCACAGGATCTAGTGGCGTGATGCAAACAGTCCAAGTACCATCTACAAGGCCTGAGCGAGTTAGCAAGCTCCTTGTGGAAGGAAAAGCCCACAGAAGTGGTCCTGGACTGGTCAGCCTGCAGAGCACCGGTGCATCAGGGCTGAGGGCCCGGGGGTTCAGCCCATGACCTGTCACCATCACGCTGGTGCAAGTCCACTCCCATCCTGGGGAGGCCGAACGAGACACCGTGGAGAGGGAAGTGGCCATGGGGGACATCCACTGCAGATCTTTCCAGTAATAGTCTGAAGGTCAGATCAGTGGGGAATAGAGAATCTGAAACTGAGAAACGATCTCATATTTGAAAGCTGCTAAGAGGGTAAATCTTAAAAGTTCTCATCAGAAGGGGAAGAAATGTGGTAAAAGTGAGATGATGATGTTAACTGCACTTTGGTGATCATTTTACAATATATGCATCTATCAAATCATTGTGTTGTATACCTGAAACTAATGTCACATTACATGTCTATTGTATCTCAATAAATAGATGAAAAAAGAACCCCAAACTTGAAACTACGTGTCTCCAGACTCGTGCAGTATTCTAAAAGATTTTATTACAGCAGGAGGGGTTAGAGTTTGCTGGATGCTGAGTTGTTCATACCGCCCCAGAGATGTGGCCAGAGGCCCACTGTGTGCAACCGTTCACCAGGCCCCGGGGACCTAGGGATACTACCCACAGATGCAGGGGCGGCCTGTCCCCTCCTTAGAAAGGTGACAAAGGCTCCCAATCCACCACACCTGCTTCTGCTTTTGCCTGAGGGAGGTCTGCAAGCTAATCAAATGTAAACAGCTCCTTAGTTGTGGCTCCCACCCTAATGATGCAGGTGCAGCCTGCATCATAGGATCCCTGGTGGACCCCTCCCCTCTGAGCCTACCCCCAACTCAGGAGATGAATTAGAGCAAAATCAGCACAGCACACAACCACAGAGGGCCACAGATCCCTTAAAAATACAAGACCTTCTCATACCTGGAGGCTTCGGGGGAGCGGGGGGTGGCACATGTGCCTTTCAGCCAGAACTTCCTGTGCACAAGAGGACATCCTGTTCTCCTTCTAGGACCCGCCTGAGGGAGGCACAGAGGTGAGAAAGCAGGTGGCATGGGAAGACAGAGGGACAGAGACCCTGTCATGAGTCACCTGAGGCTGTTGATAACCCCATTCTTGAACCTCCATGTGGCCTGCAGATTCCGTTCTCCCCAGGCTCCAAACCAGCCTCCATAGGTATGCTATTTCTCCAGCCAACAGGCAGGGTTAGGCTATTTCTCTAGCCAACAAGCAGACTCTGCTTGCACTGGTTCTGCTTCTCAGACTTGGAGTGTCTAAATGGAGTCTACAGGGAATGTTTTCAGGCAAAGTTCCCTCCCACAGAATCTGGGACTCTGACCCTGGTGCAATCAGGTCTACCAAGTTTTCTGTTACTATGCCAAGGTACTAGCCTGCTGCTTCCAGGGCTCCTTGCATTGATTGCTAAGTCGGACCCGACAATCTGGGGTTAAGGTTTTCAGCCAGCTCTGACACTCTGAGGACAGACCCCAGAAGAGGACTCTGTCTTATAGATTCTTTTCCTTGGTTGGACTCAAGAGCTATGCCGTAGCCCATATGTGAGAGCCCCAGACAACCCAGGAGCTTTGCCTATGGTTTACTTCTCCCATCAGATATTTATTAAGAACCTCCCAAGTTCACAGATCTCAAACTAGAAGAATAGGGTGTGAGATCTGGCTTTAAAGAGCTCAAACTATAGTTTTGTGGGGGGCATGAGTAGGTGAGTGGGAAGTGAAGCTGGTGCTGAAATTTTATTTTGGAGTCACAGTAGTTGTCACTGAGGGAAGGAAGGCATTTTCATAGGTGGAACAAGAGGAAAAGAGTGGGCACAGCAGGGGCATAAAGCATGAGCAAAGGCTTGCCTGACTTGGCGAACAGTTGAACCCAGCTATAGTTTATGTTACATACAACGAAGTGCACAGATCTGAAGCCAGCATCTTCATGAAGATTCGAACACATGTATACCCATGTCATTAGCAGCCAGGTCAGAATATAGAACTGCTCCAGTGCCCGATCTCCCAGTGCCTGGGCCAACCCAGACCCTTCCCCCAGGTCATATCAACCAGCACAGAGATTCTGTCATCCACCCTTATGTGCTGGGAAGCACTAGGTGT